TCTTTTCCAGTGCTCAACCTCTGGGTGAAAAACTTTTTCCTGCTCTCCAGCCTAAATCTCCCTTGACACAACTTCAGACCAGTTCTTGGATCCTGGTTACCACAGAGAAGAGATCAGCGTCTGCCCCTCCTCTTCCCCTCATGAGGGAGTTGTGACTGCAATCAGGTCTCCCCTCAGCCTCCTCTTCTCCACACTGAACAGACAAAGTGCCCTCAGCCTCTCCTCATTCAACTTCCCCTCAAGGCCCTTCACCATCTTTGTTGCCCTCCTTTGGATGCTCTCTAGTAGGTTAATACCTTTCTTATATTGTGGTGAACAAAACTACTTTGTTATTGTTAACTACGTTCCATGATTTTTTCACATCTAGATTTTTTCCAATCTAGATTTTTTCCAAATCTACTGTTGGATGAGGTTTGTGGATGACTACTTGGGAAAAAAATAACAAAACCCAAGTGAAAATAACACCTTCCTTCTGCATTCTCAGCCTCTAGGACTGGATTATCGAATGCTGAAAGTTACACTGAATCTTTTTTTGAAAATTACCATCTCTGCTCAGATGATCATTTCAGTTGAGGAATTGCTATATTACCTTCAGTTTAAAATCAGTTATAGACAGACAGACTTGTTTTCACAATAGCAGTTTTCACGCAGTGCTTGATGTCAGTTTTACTGTAAAAATTTTTAGCAAAACTTAATACTGGCATAAAATCTCTTCTTCAAATTGATAAATACTCAGCAAGGTAGAAGCAGGGATCAATTCCCCAGAAGCAGAGAAGGCAAGGGGAAAAGTATGTGATAAAGTATCCAACCTGGATCCAAAAAGCCAACAGGAAACAAAAGGTTTATCAGTTCCTAGTACACCTCTCACTGTGCTTGAACTTGCACCAAGAAGTCTAAGAGCATGCCATCTCTACGGTGCATTTTCCTTTCTTTAATAAATGGGGGAAACTAAAGGAGTAGACACTCTAGCTGGCTGTGGGTGCACAGCCTGTGAGACTAGCCTGGAGCTAGTCCAAAATCCACAAGTTCAACACCAGCTCTACAGACCTGCTCCTCTTGCCTTATCCTTCCTGCCAACAAGAAGGATATTTGGTATTGTCAACATGCCACCTGTATAGCTGTGCTCCCTGCTTGTGAGAGTACTTCTACCCCCTCTGGTTAACCTGATGTTGACAGTGTCACCCGTGCCACCAGTGTCACCAGGCAACTTTGCACAAATACCTGTTGCAATCAGACTGCCTTTTCTTGAGCTACTAGTTGGCTTGATTACCCAGGAGCTTACAGTCTGGGTAGCCTCACCCTTTGTAGTTCCCAAAAAGCCCCTGTGTTCCTTTGAGTTTATTAACAAGTTTGCTGAGCCTCCAGTCACATTCTTCTATGTTTTTGGTTTCACTTCTGCCTATCCTTGCTTCTGCTGGGGCTGAAATTGTTGCCAAACCTCCCAGGTTTGCGTACTTCCCTCTTTGTACCATCCCAGTTAATGTCGTCGCATGGCAACACAATGCAAAGCATTCATTTAGTGACACAGAACAGTCCAGCTAAAGGCTATTTCAGCCACAAACGGGTTCATTTTTGTGGAGAAAAGTAGACAGAAAAAAGGGAAAATGTCCACAGATCCCACAATCCTTCTTTATTTGGAAGAATGGCTTTTAAATGAAGTCAAGCAATATCTTGTTTTATCATTCATTTATTTAGCAAAGAAAGGAATGAATTCAAATACCCCACACAATGAACACATATTATTCCCTGATATCAAGATGCAGATTTGCTTGTGAACAATTTTAAATGAATCTGGTTGTTTTACTATTGAAGTCATCTTGTACTGTGCATGGATTTGTGCAGAAGCAATACATTTTGGGCTCAATTCTGTAAACACATTAAAATAAGTAACTTGTTACATATATACCATTGATCTTGGTGTGGTTACTTATGTGATGAGTAAAATTATATCCAGGAGCCTAGCTTATGCCAACCTAGGCATGGAAATTACTCTGCAAATTACAAGCATCACTCTCTAGGCTCACTGCAGTGTTGGTGGAGAGACACAAGCCCTCATCAGGATGTACTCTGCCCATCTAAGTATGTTTTCCTAGATGAGACACAGACAATGCTGGTGGCAGCTACAGTTAAAATTGGCCAGACGCCTCAAGCAGAGCAAGATAAGCTTGGACCAAACTGTTTACAGAATTGATCTCATACAGCAAAGCCATTATGCATACAGTCAACATTAGGAATGTGCTCATGTTGCGCCGATTTTATTAAAACTGGTCCCACATTTAAAGAAGTGAATATATTTATTCTATAATTATGAAGAAAAAAATACTGAAGCATTTAATCCTATTAACGTTTTACTTACATCTGGGACCTCTTACATTCTTTTCTGGTTTGAACAGCCATATGGTCTGATGCTCTGAGAAATTTCTTCACTAACATAAGTGCTTCAGTAGCTCCTGATTTGCATGCTGGACTGGTACTTTCCCAGAGTCTGGCATGGATCTCTGGTAGAGCTAACTAAATGCACAGTACCCCACACCAATGTGAGACTTTAATCAGTACTGCTTAATAGCCTGGAAATCAAAGCCATTTAAGCCCCATTCTTTCTTCCCCTCTCTTATAAAATTCCTATTCCTAGTAAAAAATCTCTCAATTAGTTTTAGCCAAACCACACTGCTTCAACATCAGGTGACTGCAAACAGCTGGAAAAGCTTCTATATAGAGTAACTTAAAAAGGCTATAAAGATCATCAAACTCAAATCAACGTCCAAGATATATCTGCAAGCATGGGAGTCAATTTTCTAAGCAACCGAGGAACGTATGCTATGATTCAGAAAAATAAAAAATAAGCACAAAATGTGTACTCAGGCATAGCAGTACTTTGAGTTGGCCAATGAGTGTCTGTACTGTGAAGGATGGGACTGGCAGCCTTGCTTCCTTATCCCTCCAAGCAGCAGGGCTACATGGAAACAACTTTGAGAATTTTAATTTATCTGCCAAACTGTTTGCATTCAAAATAAAGAAGCATTTTTAAATTTATGCAATCAGTGTAAGCATGGTTAATAATAGTAACTAATGGCTTCAGAGGTAATATAATTATTTGTCCAAAACAGACCACTTTATCCAAGCAAAAGGATGGAAGATACTTAAGCATGGCATTTAATGAGCAAGGGACTAGATTTTCACTTTCAAAGAAAAAAAACAATGCTTTCAGAACCACATTTGATCCTTGAGAAAATTTGAGAGCTCTATTGGCTTAAACAAGGTTTGCAGGAAATGCCCACTTGTTATATTTTTGACAGAAAAATAAGATCTTTCAGGAAGAAATGGACATCTTTTAATAGAGGACTTGGCAGAGCTAGGTTAATTGTTGGACTTGATCTTGGACATCTTCCAACCTAAACAATTCTATGAAATCTGCTTTTTCAGCTTTGTAGCCTATTTTAGAAAAAATGTTAAATAAAGTCAATTGAAAATTAATGGAGATTGCATTTTGCTTTGCTCCACGTACTAGAAAAAGCTGTACTAAACTACCAGAATAGCTACACAGAATTCAGAAGGTGAAAATACTGATAAAGGCAGTGCATTTGGGGTCCTTTAAAATTACCTAAGACACAAATATCTAAAGGCTTTAAAACTTGTTGTCTTACAACCTAGCTTGACAAGGAGATCTTGCCATCTAGTTTTTCTCATTTAAGTGCTGTGAAATTTCCACGTTTACCCTCCTGCTTCAGATAGAATTTTGAATATATTTCATTTGTGATATAGAACAACTAAATTTAGGAAGCTAAATCATGAAGAAAAATAATTAAAATAATTACTTTCCTGACATATTGGCATGGGAGCTGCTCAAAGATCTGGAACACCTGAAATAACCCTTTAGGAGAGGGAAGTGTGAGCAGACTGAGCATCTGCTAAATGGACTTCTACCTATGATCATGCAGACTTAACCAAGGGTATTATTAACACCTATATAACACATATCTAACATATGTATTTATCCACGAAAAGAATGAAAAATAGATCACTATAAAGTTAGGCGTGCCTCAAACTACTAAGGAGTTAGGAAAAAGAAGATAATTTCAGTAATTTTAATTAAAAAAGGTAAAATAAAAATACACAGTTCAAATCTTTTAAAGGTATTGGTCTCAAAACTAATAGTCTAAATAAAAAATCCAGAAGTTGGACTAATGTGCTCTTAATACAGGGGCAGAAAGGAACAATGTTGCTCATACGTGTGTATGTACATGTGCTGCTTTTTCTTGGCAGTAGCAACAATATAGGTTTTATTTTATCTTATTTAAATATAAAATTTATCTTTTAGCATGAACACAGTAATTGAAATACCATACTGGTTATGACTTGGAGAGTTTTTCTTCCCTCCATTTCTTGCAAAGAAAATTTTCTCTTACTCGCAGCAATCAGCTAATTTATTCCTGGAAAACCAAATCTAATGTACAGTAAAAAATCACAAATTATAGAGACCCAGCATTATTATACTTTCTGGAGATGAGGTGGTGTGAAGACGAGGTGCTTTCATTTAGCTGAGTTAGTAACAGGGAGAACTATTCAGCTGGAAAAAAAATAGGTGGCTGATCTTAATTACTTTCATAGATGGTAAATGTGTGTTCATTTTACTGCATAGCATTTTAAAGACCATTTTGAATTTTTTCATTTTTCTGTAGAGCAGATTGGAAGCATAGTGCTACATTCAGATCTATCTCCATTCCAAAATACAGCTCACTGCCATGAGTAGATACAGTATTTACCATTGCTAGGGAAGTGTTTATTGGTATTTTTGATTTTTTTTTTCCATATATAGTGGCAAATCATTATAATATATACATGTTTTTCTCTATTTGCCTATCATACCATAACCTAACTAGCAAGGGCTCTAAACAGAATGGTAGCATTTCCACTCTGCTTCTCCTTGCATACCTCCCTAGTATTCTAGCGCGACAGTCTTTGCTTTTAGCAAGAAAATGAAAGCCCAGTCCTTTAATCCTTAATATTCACTTAATTTCTTCTCACTAGCTTCTGAGAATAGCAAATGCTTCCTTGCTACTATAAACTCTGTAAAATCTGACTCAAATCCCTGCAATTTTCTTTTTAGTTATACATATAAAATTTCAGATACAAAAATAAAAATGTCATGAATGTGGGTGAAAACAGACAAGACAAAGAAAAATGGTATAAAACTTTGTGTTTTCTCATCTACCACTACAAAAGGAATTAAAACTGATAACTTAAAACTTAAATATGTACATCAATGAAATCCAACAAGATCATCACTTGAAACACCATAAGAATGTTCCTCTAGGGGCTGACTGATGCAGGTCAGACATGGCAGCAAGATGAGACAGCCCCTTGCAAATGTATTTATATTCTCTGAGCCAGCTTTGTTTGTTGGACACGTGCATATAAAGTAAAAGCTGGAAAGAAAAAAGCAGACCTATGATTATGCCTACATGCCCCCAAGAGCCAGAGATGGCACACAATACACAGTGCAGTTGTACTGCCCCATGGCCAGCCTGGTGGCCACAGCCATCAGAGACAAGTGTGTCCCATGGGCACGCACCAGGGAGAGGAAGCCTGTGGAATGCCACAACAAACCCGCGTGCTGCAGCAAGGCTGGCTCGTTAAAGACACAGAGAAAAACCTCCCAGTGTGCCTCTCCCACCTGCCCTCCTCCCTCGGGCTCCCTTGGGACATGCCCCTTCCACACCCTCGCAAAAATTAAACTGAGCAAGGTGAAGGCGTTGTGTGACTGGGCTCGGCTTGCAGCTGCAAAGCACTGACCCCGGAGGTGACCGGGTTAATTACAAGATTGTATCCCTCGGTACAGCCTTAGTACCTCTCTGCACTCTGAGCAGCTGAACAGCAGCCAGAGTGATTTACAGCCCAGGAAGATCAGCCTACAGAGCCCAGAGCTGCTGCAGAGGATCACTAAACTGCCACATTTCTTCTTGTCATCCCCAGCACCTTGTGAGCTCTTTTTGGCAGTGTGAGCTTCAGGAGACTGCACAGAGGGCTAACAGCAAAGCTCCCTTTTTAAACCCCAAGGAAATAAAAGACAATGCCTAGAAAGAAAATTAGATTTGCACTCCTGGCCCAGATTTAAGGGGTAACATTATTATTTCTTTTTAAGACTCCGGAATGACTTAGTCACTTGTTAGAGAAATATGAGTGGAAATTTATGAAACTGAGCGAAGCAATGCAATCCTCATGAGTGGTCCAGCAACACTAAGGGGCTACAGCTGCCCCTGACACTGAAGGCCAACTTTGCATTCTGCAAAGAAAACATCATGTCACAAACAGGTGGTTTGGGCTTTTGGCAGCAATGGGATTTGATGGCTTGGATCGTGCTTGAAATGTCTCTGAACTTCATCTCTGAAGCCTCAATCACATGAGCACTTGAGTAGCAAAGGCCTTGGGACTGGGGAGTTACAGGAGGCCAGAAAATACACAAGCCCATTAGTATTCATCATAATTATTGAAATCTGTAAAATAGGTATTAGAATAAGTCTTTGCAGTAAGATGTGGATTGAAGTATTTGTTTCTCTCCTCTAGAATCAGGTTGTTTTTGTTGAATGCCTGAGAAGAAAAAGAGAAAAAAAGAAATCAGAAAATGAAAAGGGCAGAAGAAAGATAACCACTAAGTGCTCTTTCACCAAGGCAGTTTTTGTGGCACATACCTGTGTACAGCATGCCAGTCAAAAATGCATTGAGAAATACCTGTGTATCTACAGAAACTTGCATTTGCAAGAAGCATCTTCTTATGTAATAACATTCCTACAGAAAGTCATTCTACTTCATAAAGCCAGGCATTTTCCCCTACAATATTAGAGAACTAATTTTATGATTCTGTGAATATTTTTAATCATATATATGCAGTCCTTCCTATTAGAATGAGTCATTATCTTTTAACTGAATAAGCATTATTTTCTCTTTACTGTCTTAATTCCCTGATTTTCAAGTGGCAGAAATGTCTGAAGGCCTTAAAGCATAAAACCTGTTTTTTAAAAAAGTAATATGGATATTTAGAATACTAATTTTCAAAGGAATGGGGTTTTTTTTTGTTTCTGTAGCTATCTAGAGAGATGATGTGGAATTTCAAAAAGCTTTAAATTAGGTTCATATTCCACTGCTGACTAGAAGATCCAGACTTTTCTTGCTGTTTTTAATAATTTTCATTAAAATGTCTTTAATTAGAAAGAAAAATGCAGAAATTAAGAACTGGATTATCCAAGTAGGATTTAAGAAAAATCCTCATTTGCAAAAAAGCTTTGCAGATGCATGAATAAACTTTGTAATCTGCAGATACTGAACTAGGTATTTTCAAAATGCACATCCGTCCTTAATTTAATGGATCTGAAAAGCAGAGTTATTTTAAAAGGTCATAAAAAGAGAAAAGCAATTTGAGAATAATGACGAAATAGTATGGATATCATTATAGACTCTCAGTACACCTGTACTGCTTTTTCACAGAGTAGTTTGGCTATAAACAGTAGCTGAGGGTCTGACCCAGAATATATTCACCAGGTATAGCTCCCATACAGAGACATAGTGCAGGAAGATGAACAGTGCCCTTGAAACTGGATCATCAGAGTCAAAGGAATTTCTTCAGTGGATGCCATGGTAAATGGCTCTATTTACTTCTTGAACAAGCCACTAGGGAACACAATTAGGAAAAAAAACCCCACAAAACAACTTGAGTGATTTGCTTTTTTCCCAGCAAAACCTGCTGTATAAATTATACACAGATGCAAAATCCAACTTCCTGCCTAACAGGGATTGACAAGTGAAAGGATCTGCAATTACAATACCTCAAGTGAAATCTGCTTTTGTCATTAACAATCAGCACAAGCTGAGCTCAAATGCCACTGTGGAAAAGCAGCAAGGAGAAATGTCGTCTAGGTGCACTGAGTACCTCCCAGCCCTCTGCTCACCTTGATGGCCTCCACAGAGTCGTATTTGTCCAGTTTGTTGATGTGGTTGGTGATGCTGGTGTTGAGCGGAGCGGGTGACACCGGGTGGATGACGGTGGCGTCGTGGGACTGCTGCTGGTACCGCTGGCAGTAGGTGTAAACAAGCAGGGTGAGAAGGCACCCCAGGATTGAGCTGCTCAGTCCCACTGCGATCATGTGGAACATGTTGAACTCTGCGGAGCGGAGAGAAGAAGGCAATCTTAATTTTGAGGCAGTAGCAGTAAAAGCTTCAGCTCGGGGAAAAATGTAGACAAGTGTTTGATTCAAATAAGGATAAGGGAATTTTCATGTGTTTCCCTGAAACATCTCAATTGCGATGGTTTATTCCTACAGTAGTAAATTCATTTTACCTCCCTGAAAGGACCATTATAAGAATCTTAGATACCCATACATCTCTTAAAGTAGAGATCATTGAAAGATGCTTAAATAAGTTCAGAACACAAATAAAAGAAAAATTAATTGCATTCCGTATGTTTGAATGGTTCATCGGGGTTTTTTTTCAGACAGTGCAACAGAGCCTTGTTATGTATAAATTATGTATATAGTATAAATAGTTTTTTTCTTTCAGTGAACTACAGTATCACCTCCTCTGCTGTTAGTACAGTTTTTTCTCTTATGCATAGTGACTCGTGGCAAAACTGAAAAAATCCTGGTATCATTGAACCCCATTCCTGTGTTCCATAAATGTTTTCCATATCCCTTTTACTGGATGCATATCCCAGAAGCAGCAGCAGATGTTTTTTCCATCCCTGCTTTAATTCTTGCTGGCTATCATTCCTTTTGTATCTTGGCCAGTTTGTTTCCTTCTCGAGCTCTTGGAACTTTTTCTTTATTTAAGAGGGAGTAAGGAAGAAATGGGAAGTAGCGAGAGATAGACTCCTTGAATCTCAATACACCTTTAAGCAGGGCAGCCAGAGAGTACAAAGTCAACACCTCAGAGCCCAGCACCCTCCTGTCTGCTCTGCTCTTCACAGGCACAATGGCATCAGACCATGGGAAATCCTCTCCACCTACGCAAGGATTAAAACTGAGAGGAAGCCCATTGCTGCATGAAACTGTAGGAGGGAACTTAAAGCACAATCATCCCCTGATGTTACTGAACACAGACACCAGACCAGATATGGAACCAGTAGGATTAGCTTGAAATAAACAAACTGGACTGCTTTCCATCATTATTTGGAACAGGAGCTGTGCTTTTTCATTTACTTTAGGGGAGAAGTATCACTGAGAAGCGCATGTTGGAAATTTCATCTTAGCATGACTGAAAATTTGTTTGTAGTTGCCTAAATGTACAAATTAAGGATTTAAAACTGATATACTGATGCTAATCTTTTTCACTGTGATACAGAAAAATGGGCTGGCACATGGGTCCCATTTTTTGTAAAATCTAAGGTTTACAAAACCTTTACATACCTACTGGGTACCTAGAAACACAAACTAATATTTAGGTTACTCAGTTGACTGTGTCAATATATCAATCTATCAGTAAAATATCCTTCTACACCTTTATGAGGGTTTCCCAGTGCTGTAGAACTTGGCAAAATGTTTTCAGAGTACAACTGCTAATTAGCAAAAAAAATCAAATGACATTATCTTTGCTCCCATAACAAGTTACCATATGCACAAGTACCCTTTCACAACCTCTGCTTTTTCATTGTCCTTTATTAGGTTAAAAATGCAGCTTATCTGTGCATGGAAGAATACTAGGACTGGCCAGAGCTATTACCATGACAACACAGACTAAGCGTGATAGCTAAGAAAAAAAGGTTCATTTTCCTTCTTCTTTCTTCTTCTTCTTATTGTTTAGTGGTTTTAAAAGTTTTTTCTTTCGAGATCTATTTTTCTAGCATCACGACTCTCTAGAATGGAACCTTTTATTTACTTTTCAGTTTTGTCTCTGAAAATGAAGCTGAAAATGAGTCCCAGATAGAGTCTGGGCTATTAAATTTGTTAGCAGGCTGTTTTTCTGCTGTTTTTTTTGAGTCTAAAAGAGGTTTGTGCACTTGTTATCCTGAAAAAGGAGGAGCAACAAATTTACAAATTTCGACCTTCTGATAACTAGATTATTATAGATATTTCTTTTTGAGTTACAAGGGTGACTGCTACACTGACAAAGAAGAAAATAAAAACATCCAATAATGCATGTTCTACTCTCAAAGGTCACCAATGACAGATGGATATTTAATGAGAAATCCTGTAGTAACTACATTTTTCTGTACAAGTAACTACTTTTTTCTGTACAAGTGTAAATAATGAGAATGCAGCATTTAGAAGGTAGAATATTACTAATAAGAGAGTGCAAAAGGTGAAACAAAATCAAAAAATGGAGAATCAACATTTCAGCATTTAACAGATATCTTGAGCTGCAAAGCTTACCGCCACATCGTTTCTCTTCTATGCTGCTGGATCGTGCCACAGATATTTCTAGAAAAACAAATAAACCACTTAGGCCAAGGAGAAAAAAATATTACAGAGAACTTCTAGTTAGATTAACACAGAAAGAATTTAAAAATTCATTCTATTACATTCACTTCAATTAAAGGCAAAAAATATTTTTACTATGTGTTAGAATTAATAGAAAGGACCTATGACATCTTCAGGCTCCTTAGCTTCCCAAGCAAAAGCAACAACTTGTTTTTAATTCTTCCTCAAAACATCTCTGGAATAAAAACGATGAAATGTACATGGAAACATTCTTGTGGAGTTTAGGCTTGTGGAGAAAGAGTTGATTTACTGAAGTAAAATTAACTACAGTTTAATTACCTTGCCTTCAAATGTGCTCATTACTTCCAAAAGTCACTTCTAGCACTAATGTGAAAAGTGGGAATTTATACATCTTCAAAAAAGACAACTGCTAATTTTGTAGGTCTCAATAGTAAACTAATTAAATGCAATTCCAGCCTGTATCCTTACCATTTTTACTTTGAAAATACAGGATAAAATCTGAAGGCAAACAAGCTTTTCCACTCCTTACTTCCAGACCATGGTTTCCGTGAAGGGAAGTTCTGCCTTACGAATCAGTCTTTTGAACCTCTCTGAAAGGGTCAAGGATCATTTGTATACAAGTGAGGTAGCTGACACCAGATTTCAAAAAAGGAGAATTTTAAGTTTTTGGATAATGTCTTTCCAAGAAAAAAATGAAGTGAGGTAAAAGATACAGAAATGGGCTAGTGCTATGTGCCCAGTTCTTACAACAGGGGAAGGTTGCCACTTCTGCAGGGATTGGTCTTTTCAGCCAAGAGCTAGGGAGGAAACCTCTCAGTTAGAGGACCTGGATGAAAAAAGTGAGCCAAGTGAACCAGAGAAAGCCAGCTTGATTCACTGAGGTGGGAGTAATGGCATGACCTTATCTGCTGTGTTACTGGTAATGTGAGGTGGGGCAGCAAACCAGAAGGGCAAGAGACATGGTGGCTTGTTTCAGATTCTGAAAATGCCTTCCTTCCAAAACAAGATGTAGAGCTGATATTGGATTAAGCTGCAGATTCACAGAATGTGGATATTAATAGAGCTTCAAAAGTCTTAGAAAAGGGAAAATACAATGTGGGTGTTTTTGCTTTCATACTGACATTTTTCACATTGGTTTTAGAGGAAAATACAATTTGGGAGTTAAAGCATTATGCACCATCCATAAAAACAGAGTTTAACTTTGCTGATGTCTTTGTTACATTGCACTATAGTTTACTGCACAGTCACTCAAAGAAAAGGTTGCAGCACTGAATAAACACAGCTACATTTCAAATGATACATTAAAATGTAAATTTTTCTGTCTGTGAAAAGAACCCTAGCTATTTTTAATGTACATAGGGAGAAAGCCAACTGTTAACAGCAGTGCATTGTGACCATCCATACTGTTGTGCGGATTTAAATGACTCCTGCGATTTAAAAACAAAAGTACAGTCATGAGTTTCAACTAATACTATAGAATAATACATAATGTGACTATTCATCAGGTACTTAGCAGTCATGGGAGATAAAACTGGAGGCAAAGCTAATGGTATTTATCTTTCTGAGCAGTTATCAAGGTAAGGGACTATCTGAAATTATTTCCAGACTTACAACCACAGCACCCATTTTGTACATGCAAACAACAAAACCCACAGCAATGTTTCTTTAATAATCCTAGTCCCAAAACCATTTAAAATAAAAAGCAAACTATTTCTGCTTGCTGTGTGTACTCATCCTCTGCTATGAAGTAGAATGGGACAGACCTGCAGAATGCTGTGACAGTGACTAACCAAGGCAGTGACGCTGGGTGCCATGGGACAGATTTTTATGTAGACACCAAGATACATTGTCTCTACACAGTAGACCAACATCCTTGTGCTGACTAAAGGCAAGCTCTGCTTCAGCTCATGGATCTGCACGGTGCAGTCTGGAACAGTGCTATGCCTCGCTCCTGAAACCTTGAGAGATTTCACCAATCCTCCAAGGAGCTGGATGATGTGGTCTCACCTGGTATGAAGTTGGAGTCCACCCCGCAGGCTCGGTTCTCCGTGGTATTGCCTGTGCACTGGCTGCCCACAGGGAACACAAGGATGCACTGCCGAGCGCGAGTCTGGAGGCCAGACGAGTCGCAGTCAGACCACTCGGACCACTCGGACCAGCTGTCTGCAACAGGCAGAGAGGGACACACATGCAGACACTGGGATTAAGGAGTTCAAGCGCCCCTAGCCAGAGAGAAATAGCTTGTATTTCTGAGTTAGAACAGAAAGCCTCCTCCCCAGCCACCACCATCTAGCAGCTCCTTCATTCCGATTAAACAAAGGCAGTTTGGCTTTGGCAGAAGTCTCTGAAATGTGGGTGTGATGGTAAATTTGCCACAGACATCACATGATTCTGGCTTCTACCATGGCCTTTGTCTGTGGAAGTGAGAAGCTGGAGGATTCTGTAGGGGTGACTGAAAGAGGGATAGCTGTGGAATTAATTCCAGTCTAGGTCATTAAGGTGAACAAATGCACTGCATTTTTTTATGTACCTGACCAGTAGCAATGAGAACTATAAGAGTATTCTATTCTGAAACAGAATATGTATTTAACCCCAAAATAGACACATCTGGAAGATTTCTAAAGTTTTCTTTTTTAGCTTTTCCCATTTCAGGTTCATTTCTTGGCTGTAGATTCTCATCTTCTCTTCCCCATTCAGTTTGTCACCTTCTATTTATTTTCTATATTTCTTCCTCTCCTCATGTAGCTTTGATGAAGATATTTTTATTTCATGCCTGTGTGATCTCAGATACCTTCCTTAAATGAAGTGAATTGATCTCATTCCCATGAGAATGGCATTATGGTTTTGATATAGAATAGAGTCCTACTATTCCAAACCAAACTTGTTTTTACTTCAAAATTTTAAGTGATTTTATGCCAATATGAAGAAATGTTACAAAATCTCATTTTGGCTCAATGAAAAACTGTATTTTTTGATTTTGATTCAAGTTAGATTGAAAAACATTACAATTAGTGAATTAGTGAAGCTTTTCTACACTGTTTATCAGGTGGAAAGAAAAGGAAGTTTTACAGTATTTGGGGCCCCTTCTAATGTCTTGTATAATTCCAGAATACAAGGTTCACATTTACTTATTACTTTCCCCTTGTTCACACAGGAAAGCAGTTAAAACTCTCAGTCATCTAAAATATAACAGACTGCAGCAGAAATACTTGAGACTGCAGTCTTGAAAAATGTCAAGCAATAGCTGTTGTTTATTAAATAGATTTACCTAGCAGGTCATGTAGGAACTAGGATATTGATATTTAATGAACAATTAGTAACTGTCTTGATGAGGCCTTCTTTGAACAACAGGACAAATATCTTGATACAATCAGCTTGTAAGATTTTGTTATTGTGAGTAGCAGAAATACTCAGCTCTGTCCTTTGGCTTTTCTATTTCTTAGGAAAGGTCCTGGGAGGGGCTCATTTGCAGAGTGGGTACCAGGAGCACAGAGGCAGATGCTAAAATGTATTTCAGCCCTAATTCAGGGGGGTAGGAGAGCTGAGGTGGGAATCAAGCAAATGGACAGGCCTCTTTCTGCTTTCCTGCTTAGTGTGGCACATCAAGGAGCTACTCTTATCACCTCCAGTGTCAGCTGCTAGATTTAAGTAAAATAAGTATATGGATCTTTACCCTAAATATTTAGCACCAATAAAGCCCTACTCATTCAAGCTTAAAGGAATGTTGCCCATTACAAATCTTGGCCCAGTTCTCACTGGTGGCAGAGAGCATGCTTAAGCCAGAGCCAAGATTTTTGTCCAGTCCTGGTATAATTGGGATATATGCATCAGGTGCCAAAATAGTTGTGGGAATCCTAAATGCATTTTGTTGGCTGGTGCACTCTGCAGCCCCATCTTGTCCAATGTGCTTTTGGCCTGCCAGATCCTTTGCTGAAGGAGCTACATCCCATGATGAAATAGGAACATCAGAGTACACAGGGATCATGCTAAGTCATAAATGAGTGATTGGGCAAGGTTACTGTTCTGTCCTGCTCCTTAGGAGACCCATAAAGAAACTGAGTCCTGCAGTGCATCAGACACTACAGGACAGGTAGTCTGGCTCTGGTGCTGAGCTGATCAGCTTCATCTGGCACACAGAATCAGAGGAGGAGAGAGAGGGAGGACATCAGTGCAAGCATGAAACAGAGGGTCACCCCTGCAATGGTGGGTCCTCACACCCAACCTGTGGTTTGAAGAGGTAGCTGGGAGCTCCTCAGAGAGCTGCAGAGGAGTAAAACACCCGAGACTAACAGATGCATGACTTCAAATTGTCAGATGTGCCATCCCTGGGAAGGTGATCCCACAGCTTTTGCATTATTTTGTACTGACTCAGCTATCTTGCCTCATTCCTTTGATATCTTCAAAGTATCTGAGGCTCTCTTGCACCTCAGTCAGGCTCCTGAACTTGCTCTTCAGTTCTGTGCACAAGTCATGAGAATGTAAAAGAGAAGGTCAACTGGATAGGTGTTTAACCTGCTGAACTGCTTTTCACCTCTAACATGGCAAGGCTTAATCATGACATGTCACATCTTCTTCCTACAGACTCTTGGCTGGCCTTTGATGCCAGGTTAAGACAAAGCAATTCCTAAGAGATCCCTTGGTGAAGGCAGCACTGCACAAAGATCAGATTAATCAATGTAACATTTAAATCTCTTTCATGCAGTATTACACCACCATTTCTAAATGCTCAGCTGCTTTGTCCATTGTTTGTATGTGCAAGTTACCAATCCAAGGACAGAAAGTATTTTCACCTCTTAGAAAAGCAGTAAATACTTAAGGCATAAAATACTGTTTTATGAAACATATTGCAGACACATTGCAATGGGTTACACTTACTGATAGTCGGCCACTATTGATCAATACTGCAGTGCTTCCTTTCATATTGCTGTGATTGCATTTGAGTAAATTAAAATAAAAACTATAAATATAAATAAAAACTCAGTGATAGAGCTTTTGAAAGGAAAGATGAAAAACTGATGTGTTTTACAGACACAAGCCCGTTACTTTCTTTTAAGTGCATACTTGAATACTTTCAATTGGATTTTCCATTAAATCTCTACATCCTCAACAAATCCTTAGTATCAGGATTCCAGAAAGTTTCATTTGCTGCTAGTTTTGTTTGGAAAAAGAAAAGGAGTATTTCAAATGCCAAAAAATCTTCGCTCTTTTCACAACTTAAGAAATGTTATAAATCATTTCTATTTTTTGCATATTCATTTCTGTGCTGGGTGGTTGTTCTTAGATTCCAAGTGTCATTACTATTCTCTTACACTGAGCATGTCACTCAAGCAGTGAATGTCAGCAATGGTGTTTTCAGATCTGCACAAGGACAAACCACTCTTCCCCAGGTCCTTACCCCAAGAAAATGGCTCTGCAGGTGTTCAAGTGTCTGTCCAACTTGATGTATGAAGCACTGTGGTTATTTTTGACCCATACCCATGTGAAATAAGAGCAGTAAAAAGCAGTTGTGAAATCTATATTGTAAACATGAGGCAAGGGCCATTCTCACAGCTAGTGGATAACTGCTGTTTCAAAAACCTACGGCAAATTTTCAGTGAGATTGAAGTATCAATAAAACATTACAGAATGTGAAAAATACATTTCAAGCTTCTGAAATGTTATTGTTTTATATGAGTTTCCACTTTCTTGAACTAAGATGAATGAAACCAACCTCCTCCTGAATTCTGCATCTGCTCCAAAATTTGGGTCACAAGCAGGTCAAAATGAGATGAAGGCATTATTTATGAATGTTTGCAAACTGTCATTTATAGGAGAATGGTGGTAGAAAATAAATGCACAACAAGAGAAATAGCTACAATACTAGCAAAATGAGCACTCCAGCTCTGACCTTTCAAAGATGCCTTAAAGGATTTCAAGGCAGCTGTGAGACTTCTGCATACAAATGTACAATATTTGTCTCAAAAAATCAAATAATCAACTGATTTCTATGCTTGGCCTTTTTTTTTTAAACCCAATTGGAGTTTTTTTTTAAACCAATCTGCTTTAATTTTGACAAAGTACGTACTTTTATTCTGCTGGAAGATATGTGGTGCCTAGAGAAGGAAAGAATCATAAGAAGTAATATGATCCATTCAAAGTCTGCCATACAAGGGCTTTTGCCTTCACTTGCATAGCCTCATCACATGAACAGAAAACTTTTGCTATAAAGTCTAGGAGCTCTAAGTGAAACAAGTAATACAGTGTGGCATCAGAGTTCCTTCTTTTCTTTTGTTGTTGCCTGTAATCCACTAATCAGCAATAAATGAAAGTGATTTTAATAACAATAAATGAAAGTGATTTTAATATCAATTTCTCACTTAAATTTAAATTTAAAAAAATAATTTCCTTTAAGATGAGTCAAAAGGCAGAGTCAAAGTTACAGAAATAGATGTGATCCATAATATCATACAACTAGCAGGAGTGCCGAGACATTTCATCTACTAAGCACTCCATTGTAATTTAAAAAGATCAGGTCTTTGTTCCTTAACATTAAAAGTTGAAGAAGGAGTTTTACAAAGACCATGAAAGTTTTCTTTGTGTTTTATATTAAAACAGGACAAATATTATCTACTTAAAGGACCTGATATCACCTGATGTGATGACACATGTTGAATATTAACCTCAGGAATTTGCTTGCTGTGAATGTTTGGTGTTGTAACAAAAGCACTACTTTGTGATATTTTTACTAAAAGTCTCATTTTAATGGGATGAGGTCCACTTTAAATATTACACAATTTTACTTAATCCAGATTCAGATACAGCAACTTAGGTTTTAATTTTTAAAGAGGGAGGAAGGAGGTAGTCTCCTGTAGAACGTATTCTGCTAGCACTTGATTTACTGTAGCATTGTAGCATTGTAGCATGTAAGGGCTGATCATGCACTTAATAAGGGAGAGAAATTATTTGCTCCTGAATAATAGATCAAGGGCAATATTGCCTGAGTGGGAATGCCTTATTCTGTGGCACACAAAGACCAAAGATGAATGGGTACCTGGACATGGCTGTGTGTTGCAGAGTGCTTCCTCCGTGTGCAGGCCAAGGCAGATATCCCCTCCGTACGCTGGGGCTGGGTTTGTGCATGAGCGGGTTCTCATGTAATGCCCTCCTCCACACGTGGCTGAGCACTTTGACCAGGACGACCAGCAAGACCAGCCTCCATCCACTGAAAAGACAAAGAATACTGTATTTTTCCAAGCTGGTGCGAGACATGACATAATCCAGCACATCTTTGTCATATTCTGTGGATCTAATTCATGGCCTACTGAACTTATTGGATATTTTTAGCTGTCACTGAACACAGTTCCCACAAATTTAATCACAATGCAATTTAATTTAAAAAGGCCCTGGTATGCTGGAAAAGTCTAACAAAATTACTCATACATAAAAGACACTTTAAGGGGGTATCATAATATCTTTAAGGGCAAAAATCTTGATTTTTCTTTTCTCAGTTTTGAGGAAACAAAATACCAAAGCTTGCTTAGCAGAAATATGGTAAGCTCAGAATAGTTTTTTGTTGATACGAATAAAACCTAGCGAAATAATAGCAACAGAAGGATGGAGGAATTCAGAATTTGTTTCTCAACACAGGTGGATTGCCTTAACCCTACAACCCATTTCAAATGACCTAACACAGTTGTAGGATTTGATGGGCCAATATAATCTTACAGTCTTAACACAGCTCTACCACAGATGTTAGAAATAGAACAATGGCAGAAGCTGAAGAAAGCAACACACATTGACAAAAAGGAGTTGCCATTTTAAGTTTCCAAAAGAAGTTCTTGAAGAACAAATATTATCATTTACCTTTCCCTCCCCACCCTCTTTTGCATTTACTTATTCATGTATGTGAAACTATTCTCCAGTTAAGTTTTCACAACATTCTTCTGAAATGTAGTCTGGATTTCATGGAAGACCCATTTGTCATATGACACATGGCCACTAGACAAGATTTAAATGAAAGTTCATTTCATTGCCTGCACCAGTCTGGCTCCTTTGAGCCCCTGTTATTAAAGCTACTGCTTCAGGATGTGTTTCAGTTATTTAGAGCCACATTGCAACCCATCTGCCAAAGACATCGTATGTGTAGCCATGTGACAAAGTCAGATGTACCTCTCCCAGGGAAGTAGTATTTTCTTCATTCATCTTCTTACAAAAACCTAAACTTTCAAAATTTTCATATCCTACAAAAAAGATTAATTTCTTTTCAAACCGTTTTTTAAAGCATTACCATTTGAATTCTTACAGAAGTAAGTTGTTTACCATGTCTTTTTGATCTTCTCTGTTCAATTAATGATAGTTTCAATTTCAATGGATAGTTTCTACTGGTTTACAGAAATGCTATTCCATTATTATCTCTTACCATAAAAAAAAGGTTAAAAATCTTAAAAAAATTAGCTTACAGTGAAAATATCTATGTGGTATTTGCATTTAAATTCTCTCTTCGATGGAGATATAGAAGAACATTTTAAAAAAATACTCCTTTTGGCTTTGCAGGATTGCACATCACAAATGCACTTGGTGAGCTGAGTAAAATGATTTCTATGTAAAGTCTTCAACAGTGAGAAAATGAGCTAGGAGAATTTTGATATTAAAAGCTATACATGCATTTTAAATGTAATTTCAGATAGAATACAGCTTCAGGTTCTCAACTGATAATCAAAGAGATAATTCCTTATTGCATACCAAAGACTATTTACTAATCCTGTAACTGAAGTTGTTGAATATACTGCATTTTATTCCCAGCATTGTTTATTTGCAACATCATCCTAAACATCAAGAAAGCATGGACTTGGAACTTCCTTGCTAAGAACTGTAGTCATGAAAACTCTTGCAACTAATTTATCTGGACTCTGAAGCCTGATTTGACAGACAGGATTTCCATAATCTGGTACTATATTCCAAGTATGCAATTTAAACAAATTATTTCCATTATTAAGGAATTCAATGATTGCTACATCATACAACAAATCATCATGCATGAGAGAGTTTTATACCACCTATCATAAATAAATACTGTATCTTGGTAGAGTATCTGACTTGTTCTCTTACTTATATTTTTCTTATTCATACTTTTCACTGGAAAACAAATATGTCTTTTTGCCTGAGATAACTCTATTAATGCAGTATTATGCAAACTCATATCAAAGAAAGCCATAGGTTATTTGTCTTCAGTGCAGATGAAATATTCTGTGCAATTTTATAACAATTTCAAGACACAGCATCTTTTATTCAAAACTTGCCTCTTTTTTCTGTTTTTTTAAATTACGGCAAATAAAAGCAGAAGCTGTTACCCAAGCTATTTATTTCATATGACATAAAGGCTTTACCTTTCTAGATACTCTTTTTGATTCTTTTTTTTTTTTAATGCGATCTTTGACTAGCTCAAATGAATGATCAGAGGCAAGTCTGCTGCAGCATACCTTCATGAAACAGAATTGATTCTGCCTGAGATTAACTACACAGAACATAAATTGTCTGCAAATATTGCCAGTGCATTGTTTGCTTTAATGGAGACAGTGATCCCCAACACTTCCCTACTTATTTCTCAATGGACCAGAGTGAGAATTACAAATGCACCTGCATTTGAAATTGCCATCGATCTAGAGGTGGCCGAGAATGCAGAGACCGATGTGACACCCAGGAACGTCCCCACACCGTGTTCCACAACTGCAGTGATCATGGCTGTACCTTTGGGCTTCAGATGTAGTGGGAGAAGTGTGTCTGGGGAAGGTGGCATGGGACAAATATAACAGACAATGTTAGATTTGATCCTAGTTGATCTGGACAGTGCAATTGTAACTGGTTTTGGTTTTTGTTAGTAACTATTTACTGACAGGCTGCCTCTAACCTTTCAAGGACTATTATAACTACCTCTTTTATCTGTCCCCAGAACTTTTTCTTTTCAGCAATAGAGGATAATAGGGCATCATCATGGTTAAATAAGATCAAAGGAGTGGGTATTTACTGCTTGAGTTTTTACAAGACCTAAATAGAGCTCTGTGGTTTCTTTCCTCTTTCTTTACGTTGCTTAGCAACACAGCACCATCTGGGATTTTTTTTTCCCTTTTTTTCCTTTTGTCATGGAGCCCTTAATGCTATTTCTGTCTCTTATAGGAGGAAAAATACACAGCAGCAAGGAAAGTTCCAGTCACTACAGTTTCTTTACATAACCATTTTGTAGAGATGTTAGACAAAAGAAAGTCATTAAAGTAGTTGCACAATGAAAGATTTAGAGAGTCTTTACATTTTCTGACAATTGCTGAGGTTGGTCCCTTTAGGAAGAAGGTACTTTTTATCTAGGAGTGCGCTATCAAACAGTGCACTTTCCTTTAGAGCAAAGCAAACAACTTTTTGCCTGCTGGTTGTTGCTGAGGTTAATAAGTATTTCTTCACTGCAATAAAAAAAAAACCCCACACCATAGGGAAGAGGATGTGCCAGGAAGAAACAGTGTACAGAAATGGGATCTCCTGAGGACACGACAAAACATCCACACAACTGGATAATTTCCAAGAGACAATAAAGTAAACTGGATAAACTTGTAAAACTTTGGGTTTTACAAGGAAGTCTGGGCAGACACACTGACCTCACCTGCTTTCATGAGAACACAGACAGAACTGCAGGCTCCTTTATAAGCTGTCTGCATGCTGGGCAGCCTACTGCTCCCTTCCAGACACCTGGGGACCATCCCATTCCACATCACTTAGTCTACTGCTTTTTCCCAGTCCTGTGGGATACTGCTGCATGATTCAGGGTGGGAAAGGAGCAACTTTTACATCATAGTTTACAAAGGCAAAGTCTTATTTCTGTGATACCTTTTAGTCATAAAAACAATGCTGGATGAAACAGTCAAAATAGAAACATTCAAAAATGAAACAGTCAAAATAGAACAGTCAATGCAGAAACACAAGGTAAACAAATAGTTCTAAGAAAAGAACAATAACAAAATCTAAGGGTCTACTTGGATTTAAACCTGTAACTGAGACTTTTAAGGGAGAAAGCCAACAGCTGCTTCAAAGAGCAGTCAATCCTTCTTCTTGCTGGCTACAGAAGCAGCCTAGAGAGATGAGTGCACGTTATGAGAGGGGCTTCAACTTCCATTTACTGGAGTAATTTTTTTTCCTTCTGATTTATGAAGCTACTGCAGGATAAATTTTATTCTTTTAAATACATTCTTGTTTCCTTGTGGCCAAGTGTGAGTTCAAAGAAAAAATAATAGGAGGAAATGAAAACAATAAAGAAGAAAAAAAATAAAACAAATAAAAAGCAACTGGCTTTAGGGGATGCATAAATAACTTAAATAGTCTTTCAGGGATTTTTGTATATCTGAAACTCATTATTGTTATTAGCAAGTTTAGTGACATTTGAATTTATTCAGATCTTCTCAGCTAAAAATTCACAACTGAACTAAACTAGAACTACTACAATAAAAATCTGAAATTAGTAAAATCACAAAATATTTTCATGAAGTATCAGAATTTCAAATCTAAGAAATTTCCTTAGATTTGAAATGTCCTTTCCCTCTGATCCTCCACCATGCCCTGAGGAGAAGAGAGAACAGGAACTCCTGTAGCTCATGCTACTCAGTGGTGCTCACACAGCTCTGCTTTAAATGTCCCGTTAAGGCACATCCCCATGTCCCTATGCAAAGGAATATAAGAGAAGGCAGTAAGAAACAAAAAAAACCACAAATGAAGAAAAGTTGTCTTTTTCTACAGAGATAACTGAAGAGATGTGCAATACTATGAACTAGGACAGTGTTCTTAAAGTCCTTTAGGTTGAATCATTGTCAGGCAAACAGATCTTATAGTCAGCAAACTCCTGTAATTTTTGTAGATTTGCAGAATTTATCATTCAAACAACACTTCTCTTCATCATCTATTTCTCTTCATAATGTAAATATCTTGCAAACTTCCCAAGGACAACAAAATCTTGATATGACTGATTTTAGATTCATTATTGACTGCAGATTAGTAACTCAAAGAAAACAGAAATGTCAGTGAGCATTCACAGTTATTGAGCCTGTTCAGTTCAGTTCTTGCCAGCTTAATGCTATTCATATCTCTGAGACATAAAAAAAGAGCCGAGGCACAGGTTCAAAGCATAATTCGCTAGTGCAAAAAATAGTTCAAATTCTCCTGTCCCTCAAAGTAGCTTACCCAGATGGAAACAGTACTTTATGAACATGCCTTTACACTACTCTTGCTCACAAACTATTTCTGCAGCTGATTTGGGAGAGTGATAGTTAGTTGAAGGCAAAATTATATGAGGGATCATTCTAAAACTTGAACAATACAGAAAAAACATCTTTCAGGACCTGGGTACAATTTCTGGCAATTTTCTGGCACTGTTCAATTTACTATTATACATTCAGCCTTCAAATACTATGAGCAAAAGGCCCAGTGACTGCTACCAATCTGCCCATCAGTGGACCATTTACTACTGCAGAAAAATTTTCAGTTTCTCCACTGCAGGCCTAAAAAAGGTTTAATAGAACTCACTGAAGGCCAAGTCTAGATCACTTCAGTAATTATTTGAAGTTCTGGGATCCTGCATTTAACTATCAATTTCTGTTTATTAATATATTAATAAGTATATTTCAGATACTTCAAGGGTTGCAAGACAGTTACCAGACAAGACAGCCTTGTACACTTTGATTGCTCCGTGGGCTTTTTCATTGTGTTACTCCTTCAGAGCGCTTAGTATCTCTCAGGATGACCCTGAGCCCAGATTAATTCATTGAGAAGCATTAAGCCCTACTGACTTTCAGCATGACTTAAGCACTGCTCAGTGATATTTCCCTATCACTCCCATTTGTCAGCACTTTACATCATGAGAGGTTGATCCTGCCTGCAATAAGCAGAAGAGGAAGCAAAGCAGAATTGAGCTTGCAGTGGCAGGAAGGGTCCTCTATGGCTTCCATCACACCTCTGCCAGCTAACCAGATATTTCTGGAAGTGTAATGACTGGGATGGATTGTTACTAAAGGGTAACAATCCATCCCAGCCAAAAGGGAGCACGTGAAGCTGTCCTTACCCTCGAAGAGCTCAGGAAAATCTTAGCATCAAATTCTTTATTAAAATTTTATTTCTAGTACTATGGAAAATATTTTCATGTCAAGGTCAGAACAAAATGCCCTCACATTCCTTAGCCTTTCTGTCTCTTTCATTAAAAATTAAGAGAATTCAAATTTATTGGTGTGCTTCTCCAGTAAGAATTTATTTCCTTCCTACAATGTCTAATTTATGGGTAAGCCTTATTCTGCAATAATATTTTACTCTGGCATGTCTCAAAAAATCATTTACATCTAGTGCTTGCAAAGTTTTCCCTTCAGATTTGTCTGAGATCTGATTTAGTCTACTATGTTTTTTCTTAATTACTAGCAAACAGTAATTCTGTAGCTGAGGAACTTTGTGATTCCTTGTTACAGGCTATGATACATCTAAATACTTCATTTTCTACATCTTTATTCAAATTTGCTTTGCACTGAAAAGAAAAATAAAACTTGTCTCTAAATAAAATTATTATATAGAGTAGGGCACTGCTTCTCTCTTCAGAAAGGCCCGCCACACTTTATATCAACTGATCTTTTAAAATGTTTTCAAATTCAAAGCGCAGTTTTAACTTCTGCTTTAAAATTATGTTTTTTAGTCCAGGATATTGTCTATCTCATAAAAAACTAGGGCCTCTACAACAAAGTTATTAGGTGTGTTTTACTGATTAAAAAATTCTTTCAGAAAATGAACTAGCAGTGAATATCTGCAGAGCTTAATAAAAATACCACTTCTGAAAACTTTTGACTAATTTAAACTTTAAAAAATTCCCCCCAAATTCAAGACAGCATTTAATTTGAAAATCAACAGCATGGGCTGAACAATAAATCTTGCCCAGTATTATAGACAATCTGTGTCCATTTAATGAATGTATTTCAGTTACTACAGTATGGTGGTACAATCAGGATCTCAGAGCTTGTGAGCAGAGCTGGTACCTTACACTACATCACCCCCGTGCTTCAGAGGAGGCTGAGGGCAGTGTCCCATGGGGAGATTCCCTTTGCAAGGGAAGCAGGAGCCAGTGAGGAGTTGCTATGTTTTAGGTTGCTTCACCTACTGCATACATCCCTGGGGAGGTTTGCACACGTTGGTACAATGGTCTTCTAAATCTTTGATTTAATGAATTACTGCCAAACTACTTGAACAGTGCAGTTACATGAAACAGAATCGTTTATCATTTTATTACCCCAGAAAAGCAAGGTGCTATGACTCCAGTCTGAGAGCTAATGAATCAGATCATGCACTAGGGCTGTGCCCACATGGAGAAGACTTGGACCACAATTTCCTAATTCTCTAAAAAATGTTGGCTTTCTGTTGGTTCCCTTCCACTTCTCTCCAATAGTGTTTAGTGTAGAAAACATGGAACCCTTCACTGGTCATGCCTCATGCCTCAGAAAGAAGCTTCACCTCTTCCCTTGATCTCCTTAGATGTTCACACTCACAGTCAGAGAAACTAGAAAATGAGCAACTGAAGCTACATTTCTCCTTGGATACAGCAAGAAAATTGCAGCAGAAAGCACTGGCTTTTTTGCTGGCTGATTATGCCCAAGTGCCTCTTCTAGAACTTCAATGGCTCAACGGGTGTTTCCCCAGATCAAAACAGGGATCCTCAATAGAAATTCCCCATGGATATGCCCCACCAGAAGCAGAGCTGGGGGCTTGAGTGCCTCAGGGCATTCAAGTTTTCCAACAATCCTACAATTCTTGTTAGCAATAAAACTGCAGAGAAATTTGCTTTCAGTGAACAGCCAGAATATTCACAGAGCTGCTGGGTTTGTAGGCTGTGTGCCAAAACATATTGTTCAGGTTCAATTCAAGATGGAAACATGTTTTTCAAGGAACTGTGTCTTCCCGAGAGGGAAGTGTTTTCTGCACAGATCTTCAGCTTAAATTCTGATGCAAGGAATGGACAGTGACTGTTAGAGGGCTTTAAAAGCTTAGGGAAAGATTTTTCCAATCTGCAAAAAGATTGGAAAGACTGGAAAGACTGGAAAAAATATTTAAAGAATATTATTAAAAATATTATTAAAAAATAAATATGTATCTAATGTATCCATTATTTCAGCAATACAGTTTTAATTTGAAACCATATATGTATATGCTAATACTCATATATGCTTTAAAATAGAGGTACACATACATAGTACGTATATTGCCACAGAATTTCTTCAGGTCTGCACTTGAATAAATGACAAAATCTTCAAGTCTTCAACAAGAAAATATGAAGCACTGCTATGCATAATTAATACAATTAAAGATGTATGAAAGCTTATTTCTAAATTTATTTGTTGCTGCTGGAAAGAACTGAGTCATTCACTCTTCTTTCTTTCTTCCTTTCTATTGTTTCTTACCTTGTACTCTCTCTTCCTAAACCAACAGCACCTTATTTTCTTCATGTGTTCTCCTGTATTTTTCCCCTTTCTTTTCCCACAAAGCTTCTGCAAAGCTCAAAAGCCTTTCAGTTTGAATGTTTGTTTTATGAAGGGTGAGATGTGACTGAAACCAGGATTTTTTTTTCCCCTTAGGTTGGAGATGGAACAATGACTTTTAATCCAAAGTAGTTTCTTGTAAACATATATTCTACTTGTAATCCCTTTCATAGAATAATAAAACAACTTTAAGTTAAGGAGAAACTCAAGATTCCAAGAACAATCTTTATAGACTGCTTGAATAACCATCTAATTTGGTGATCAGTTGTGAACCTTATTTGCTGGCAACTCTACACTTAAAAGCTAACACAGATTTAATGCCAGCAACCACTGTGATGAAAATAATATTTTAGTTTAAATAAAGACTAGGCCAGATTTCATGTCTTGCCAGAATTCTTATGTCTTTTTTTTTCTTATAAGTTTACCTACTAAAATTATATTTTTAGAGTCAGTCTCACAAGTGAAAAGATATAGCTATTAATACTCTTGACGATAAATTTATTGACATCACATGGGAATATTACCCAAATCCACTCACATTATAAAGGTAAATTTGAGCTGTAATTGATTCAAGAACCAAAACAAACCCAAAACTCACCAACTAAAATTGGAAAAAAAAAAACCCAAAAAAAACAAATCAAATATGGAAGATATAAATTTAAGGATGAGCTATTTTGTTTTAAATTCTTTCATTTCATTTGAAACTTACCTGGGCAAGGCAAAATGTTGCATTCCTGGTACTCCAGAGATGGGCCAAGGCAAGGAAGTCCCCCATACTTGGGCTCAGGATTGCTGCAGACCCGTTTGCGATTCCGGATACCTCTACTGCAGTCACGACTGCACTGAGACCATGGAGACCAGGGTGACCAGGCACCATTGATGGTATGAGCAGAGTATCTTCCAGAACGCAGGAAGTCCCCTGACAATCCTAATAAAAAAAACCCAAAAAAGTAATACTGAATTAAAACAGCATCTCACCCCAAAAAAAGCTTTTCCTCTTCAAATTTACTCCTAAGCTTCTAATAGTAAATAATATGAAGAGAAGGGTCCTGTCCTTTAGCCTCACAATCCAAACCCTAGTTTCATCTCAAGAATCTTTTCTTCAACAGAAATTTCACAATCACTTACACAGAACTACAGTGAAGAGTTGGATCCAACACTTCCATTAAAGCTTCATGGCCGCAATGACTGAACTAGACAATTTACTCCACCAAAGAATGATAAAAATTATATTTTTCTTGCACAGGAATTACCATCAGAAAATCTCCAAATATATTACATAGATATAATTGCATCTGTTTCACAGGAAGAAGGTGACAAAGGAGACAGGCTCGAGCTTCCTGTGACCACTCATCGAGTCAGCTTCCCTGGTCCTCCTGCAGGGCTCTGCTTACTTAATTCACCCAGCCTTCACTGCTGCTGGCTGTGCACAGAGGCCCATGGGTATCCCATGCACTATGCTTATCCTAGCCATATTCAGACTTTAGATAGTGTCCACCAATAATTCCACAAAGTCCAGCAAAACTACCTTTTTGTGAAAAGCAATGTTTTGCCAATTTAAAAATCAGTTTATTTTCCACTGAGTTGAAGTGTTCTAAGCCACATATAAGCTATGAAAATCAGCTATGGAATCAGCTATGAAAATTCCTTTTAAAAATAATCATTTTTTATCGAGTGGAAAACATATTTTTAAGTAAGTTTAGTACGGAGAAAAGGCATTAGATTAAACAGCAATGGATGAAGTCTGCTACTTATCAGTGAGAAGGGACACACAGATCTTGTACACAGCATCCAACCAATAGACTTGGATATAGCCCCTGGTGAAGTTCTAATCTGCAGTTCATTTGAGTATCTCTGTCACTTTGGGGCTTGATCCTGCAGGTGAAAAGACTCCCTCAACTGTACTAAGCACAACCCTGAAATCACTCTTGAGTTGTAGCTTTTCCTGTAAGCATCATTATTAAGAATCTCCACCAACACTGCTGGGATTTCCTACTGTTGCCAAAGCAGTTCACCTTTCCCAGTGGAAACTCTAAGATTGATGGACCAATAACTGCAGCTTTTATTACAAGTACTTACTAAAGTAGCTTTGATGAGAGAAGGTCCTGTGAATGGTACTTCGGCCAGCAGAGGATGTGGCAGTATTGACAACATAAGTACAGATGAATTGCATCAACAGTGGAGAAATGCAGGGGGATTGTTGGCAGCTCTAACTGCAGAACAAATGTCTATTCTTAAGAAATTGTTCTATGCCCTACCCACAGTCATAAGTACTGTGGAAATATGAAATGGAGACGAAGAATCAGAAGATTTACTGAACGATGCCATGAAAACAGACAGAAATAATACCGTGAGGAGTCTGCCCAACAGCAGTCCTACACTGAACAGGATCAGCCTTCTGCATAACCATGATGGAGGAGCCTCTTATTTGCAGTGTCCACCCTATTTCTATCCTATTTCTATAATGCTTATGGCATTAGTAACACTGCTTAATTTCTTCTTCAAGAAATATGTTCACAATCATCCCAAAGTAGATGAGGGTTTCCATGTTTTTATTCAACACTTGATAAAGTGCAATACTGGAATGATGATACATTGACATAGAAATACTGGTAATAAGAAACTGCTGAAATTAATAGGAAAACAGCAGAACTGCAGTATAAAAATGACTAAAAATGGATAAAACCTTTCAGGAATTATAGAGGGTAACTATTTCTCTCCTGCTGAGCCCGATTCTATTACACAGATATTAAAAGTAGCATCTCAAAAAACATGACATACATTCAAATGCAAAAAGGGGAGCAAGTACAGAAAAACAGAACGTGAATTATGAATACAGGTCCACTTTCCTGCTCTGTGAGACCCTTTTTATGCAATTTTGTATCACTCTGGTCATGGAAATTCTCAGCTTATATTTACAGTGAGCTCTGAAAACAAAATAATAATATATTTAATACCAGAATTCTAAATCAAGGGGGTTTTTAAGTTATTAAATTAAGAGCAATGCAAACAATGAAAAAAGTATAATCAGACCAGACTGCCAGTCATTCCATTCACAACTCACTGCAGGGTGTATCACTTTGTGCTGGTCAATCCATCACACACTTCATAAGAATACTAGGATATTTTGAAGACATTTTTCCAGGATATGTGTGGTTTTTTAAGTCCTAAGAAAAACGTGCAACCTTATCTGACATTATGGTATTAGACTTCTTGTCATTTAAATTGGGGACTGGGGAGTGGAATCTTCTAAGGCAAAGCTCTAAGGTAGCTTAGAACTGAAACAGAAAAATATTCCAAAAAGAATCTTTTCAGTGTGGAGTTTTGTCAGCAGCAAGTGTTCCCCTGAGTTTTCTTCTTTTCAAAGCATTAAAAAATTTATTATAAGGACCAGTCTTTTTACAATTTTACAGTAGTTAATAAAGTGTTCATAAAGGGGCTTTTAGAATTTTCTTTTCAGACAGAAACTACACAATAAAAAATTAACATTATACCATTAACAGCATGAAAAGTGACAAGATCAGTTTGCATTCTGGGAATACTGTTCTATATATTCCTTAAACAACATTATAGCCTTTTACAATGAGGGGACAAGGTGCACAGATGAAGGAAGAACAGTGGATGTTACTTATCTCAACTATAGTATTGGTTTTAACATTGACTCACATAAATTCCTGCTAGACAAGTCAACAAATTATGAGCTAGATAAGTGGACAGTGCAATGTGTTGAAAACTGGCTGAACAGCCAGGCCCATAGGACAGTGATCAGCCATTAAGCGGACAGAAAAGTCACGAATTTCAAACCTGATTAACACCATCATTAATGACCTGGACAATTTTGCCTTGACTTTGAAGACTGGCTGATACACCAAAGGGTCATGTCACACTTTGACAAGGCAGGGAGAAACCTCATGGAGTTCAGCTGGGGAAAATGCTAAGTCTTGAATCTGCACAGGAACAACCCCATGCAACCATACTTTGAGGGCAACCACCTCATGCTCTGCAGAGAAGGATCTTGGGGTTCTGGAGGACAGAAAGATGAATGTGAGCCAGCAATGAGGAAAAGAAGGAGCTTGAGTTACACTGGGAAGAGTTTTTCCAGTAGGTCAAGGAAGGATCCTTCCCCTTCACTCAGCACAGGTAGAGAGCCCATGTGGGGCTCTGAACCAAGTTTCTGCATCCTTCAGCTGACAAGTCCTGTTTATTAACTGAGGTAGTGGAGGGGATGGGGAACAATTTAAAATTAATAAAAAGATTACATTGCAGAACTTATTGAAGCAAAAATTCTTCAGAAAGTAAGTGTATATACAGCACCAAGTCCTAGTCTTACCACAGATTACATCAAATTCAACAGGAGAAGGCATAAATAGAAAAGCATTGTAATCTTTCAGAGCAAGTGGCACAAAACTGAAAACTCCAAATTGTCTCATTAAACTGTGGTTTTCTTGCTTGCTGCTTCTGTTTGCAGCTTGGGCCACTTTCAAATTGCTCTATATCCAACTCCATAGACAGAAACTAGATTGTGCCACCCAACAAAATCCAACATTAAGCTGCTTTTCTCAGCTTACTGCTCCCAAGATAAATATATATAGTCAAACCAGGATGCAATGGCCAATGCCCTTGGCATGGTAGCAGCAAAAGTCTAGTTGCCAAAATAAAATCTTAGCCCCAACTTAATTAAAGCCCATCTACAGAAACACTTGTAAAATCTGCAAAGAGAATGATCAGTCATAGCATCATCAATAAACTAATGAATAGCTTTCCCAAGACAGACAGAACATCTGTAAGTCAAATTCTGATCCAACCTTTATGACAGGTTCATCATTCAAATGTTTTAAACTAAATTGTTCTCAGAAAGCCTATGACTGACTTAGAGCCCTATGAACAACTAGAAGCAAAAATTCTGCTTACAGCTTACCAAGAAGCTCATTTTCAGTTGTTCAGAACTCATATTTCAGTAACAAACTGCTGCACTGTGGCTAGAAAAGGGCATTTAACTACTTGATCCCAGTACAATTTTAAAAAGCAGCTGTCCTAGTCTAAGGTGAAAAGTTCCACAAGTAACAGCAAGTACTGCAAAAACTTCAGTAAAAGTCATCGTAGTGATTTTGTGGACAAAATAACCATTAACTTCTAAGATCATGGAAGACAAAAGATATCAACTGACATCTAAACAAAAGACTTTTCTCTCATTTTAAGCCCTTCTGCTTTGTTCAGTATCAGTAAAATTATAGAGAAATTAGTACTGCTCTGTGATGATTTACTTATGCCATAATGCAAATATAGCTGAAAACCATTGCCTAATTAATTGATATAATTGTGATATAAACCAAGATGATTCAATGATTTATAATTACACTTTTAAAACTTTTTAGTTGAATTGAAATAGCCTCATAAATACACAAGAAATTAATTCTGACTGAAGACATGTTAACATGAAAGTCACCTGCCCTGACTAGCACAGGAGAAAAAAATCTGCCTTTGCAAAAGCTTGTAATGAGACTTTGGTTGGCCTGATTCTGCTTGAAAACTGCAAGACTCTCAGCCAAGTTCAATTAATTTGCCTTAAAAGTGAGGCTCTATTAAAGCACATAGTTTAATAATAATTCCCTAGTCTAGCCTGTAGCTAAGTAATACAGCCCTAAGTAAAAGAGAAGAAGCTGTGACACCTGATAAATTATATTACTTGACTGACTTATGACTTATGTCCTCCAGTTCCGACCTAACAAAGAAAATTCAATTATTCAGGTTCATGACTTTAGGAAAAGATGATCTGAAGCCAAAATTCAGGTATCCTGAATAATTTCTAAGTGACAGCATGAAACACTGCTTGAAGTGCAGAGGTAACAAGGATAAGCAAAGATTGTTTCAGTGTTGTCACTTTCTGAAGATAGTCTGCAAGTTATTTGACAATATTATTGAAGCATAAAACTTACATAACTTCAGGCCTAAATACCTATAACTTATAAAAAACTTCATAAACCTCCAAAACGTAGTAAAATTGAAATAGTAAAACGTAATGGCAAACATTAATGCAATGCAAAGATGACATATTTTAAAAACCCAAAGAGTATTTAGATGGAAGATGTCATGTTAGCATGAAAACTTTATTTCTTTTACATAGTTTTTCTGTGTTTAATTATTTACCCCAAAGTTCCACTGAGTTGTGCTTTGTCAATCAAACTTGAATTTGTCATCAAATTCAGTTCTAACTTCCAGAATTTATTTGGTTCTTACTCAGAATACCACAACTTAGCTTCAGTATGACAGTATAAGAGATAACATCTCCAAACTTAATCCTCCTGAGTACAGGACATTCCTGATTATCAGCACATGTTCTATTCTGTAAAAATTTCTGAATGCACTATAGATTTCCTGTGGGTAACACAAGGAAAGACTTAATCAAACTTTTCACAAGAGATCATAGCCACTAGGAGAGTAATTCAGACAAAATCACATCCTGCCTTCACAAATAACAATAGTTGTTATGAGGTTTGAGATAGAGGAAGCAGCAATAACTAGGAATCTAGGTGCAGATTTCCAGGTGCCTAGGAAAAAAAAAAACAAGGCAAAAAAAAGACTCTTTAAGACCAAAATGAATGAAAATAGAAGTATTTCCTTTGTTAATTGCCTTCAGAAGGTATTTTGTAGGTCAACCTGGTCTCACTCTGGCCATGTCAAAGTCAAGTGTCTTGTCTAAGCCCACCACTGCTGTCTGCCTTGTACACCATGGAAAGAAGGCAGGATCTATCTCCAGAGGGTGAACTGCACCCATTATATCAGATGATTATCTTCAATGGGTCCCTCATTCCTCAGGGGCTGAAGTTCTCTTTTTAGACTACTATAGAGTCTAGAATTTGGATAAATTCAACCTAGAAGTATCAGGCAACCTCATACCTTGTGAAATATTTATCCCTGGGTTAAAAGATCATGTTTTCAATAAAATTATTGCTATTTATATATCAGATAATCTAACAGAGAGCCAGCATGTCTAATGTAGATATCTAATGTTGCATAAGCACATATTAAAGCCTAGGGTAAGGTAATTTCTTTACCCTGAATGCTGGATTGTACAGACTGCATTAAGATGTACAATGTACACAATCTCTTACAGTTTATTTGAAATAGCTGTCTCTTTCCTATCTGAGCACTACATGAAAACCCAGAGGCAGGGAACAAGATTTATTTTTCTTTCCTCCTAATCAAACTTCAGATCAGAAAAGCATGAATACAGTCTGAAAATGCTACTGCTTACTTGATTGAGATGGAAATCTTACCACACTCAGGAGGAGTCTAGCGGGTTTCTGGCAAGAAGTTCTATCTCTAAGCTCAGACTGCAAAGAAAGTTTGTTTTGCTAGCATCTGACAGTGAAACATGATTCTGTTTAACACGGCATGACTATAGTTGCACAGTGGGAGATTATAGGCAATGAGAAAATTTCTAACAAATGGCTCCTATCTGCAAGGAACAGAGAACTGATCTCTGCAGAACACATCTTTGGTAATGAGGTATGCCAGGCACTCTGTACCAGAATTAATCTTTCTGTAAAAGCCAGAAAATTGCTACAATTCAACATGGAGATAATGAAAATAATGTTTCACAGCATCCAGGCTTTGGTGAGGTGGAAGTAAGTTATGATGTTTTCTTGCTGTCTAGGTGAATGCACCTATGAAGGTGCCTGCCATAATTCAAGGTTTCCCATTCTCGTGACTTCCCTCTGCCCCAAAAGCTACAGCTACTCTGCACGACTCTTATTCATGTATTTTCTTCCCGTGAAATCAAGGAGCAGTGTTGAAATCAGAGCAGAATGGTGTTGGGTTGGCCCACATGTAAACCTGGGGGCAAGGAAGTGCTCCTGAATTCTTTCAGCTCCTGAATGCTGCAGTTCAGATGCATTCACCAAGTTTCATCTCATCAGCAAATCAAAATGGTGCCCCCTCATCCCTCACTCAATAAATGTTCCATACCATACTGTTCTGACATCCATAATCAGAAAATTATTAAGCAAACAGTCTCAAAATAAAATGTGCTGTTCTCACCAGAAGTGTATTGGTTAATGCAGCCACTTGGAACACCGATCGAGTTTCACCTTTCATTGCAGAATAATTAAAGACTCACTGGCCAAAATGAATCAAAGAATGAGTGCAAATTAATGACAAAGCCATAAGGGCACTCACTAGAAAGAACAGACAGATGTATAATAGTTTCTGCCCTGTCAAGTACTCAATAAAAAGTACTTAAATATTCAGTAGTTTTGGAATTAGTCAGCAAAAATCCTTCACTCAGATGAACATTTCTATAACTATGCAACAGGGTTGAGGTCATGCACATACACTTCTCCAGTGATGAATTATTTCCAAATGAATCAAAGCAGCAGCTTCAGCAAGATGCAAAAAAAAAAAAAAGTACAATGCTAGGAAATTCAGGAGTATTATGTTCAGAAGTTAAAAAAAAAAAAATCTTCATGCTAATCAGGCAAAAAATGCACCTGAACCACCATCCCCGCCCCCATTACTTGCACACTGAAAAACTGTTTTATTTAACAAATTATAGGCTTTGTTACTTCTGCCTATATTCTGCAGGAGTCAGACTATGCATCCAGCTCCAGGAGAGGTCTTATGATTATGACTTCAGAGCTGAGAGAGGTGTCTCCATGCCAAGTTTGACGTTCTTGCAGCAATGTGATCTATAACAAACTGGCTCTTCTCTGGTTCGCCCTACTGACCTCCTCTCTTGTCATGCGTTGGCTATGGTATACTCCTCTCTTACATGCTGCCATTTCAGCTGTCAGACCAGATTATACCTAGATTCTTCTGTAGCTTTACTTCTGCTTGTGATAACTTCCCCAAGTCTGCACTGCCTGGTGAGAAAAATATTCTCTTTCTCATTTAATCTCATGAAATTTTAAAAACGTATCACCCATATCTAAGTGCTGGAAGACAGCAAAAAGCAGCAGCACCACCTTGAAGTCTCATTAAGGACAAGAGACAGGTCATACACCAACCCTAGCAGAGTAAAATCTTTGCTCAATAAAGTCTGAAATTTAGTTTGGATGAAAACAGAATAGAAGAAACACTTGTGACAAGAGTTGCTCCATGCCAAAATCTGCCTTGCTATCCATACCTAAGTGAAACCCCAACATTTGACACTGTCGATTATCTGAAACGGGAATGACATAGAACACAAAACTAAGTCTTATCTGGAGTACCAGATAAGTACCAGTACCAAAAAATTGCTAACATCCTTCCCCCTCCAAAGAGACACAGATGCCAAGTGAAACAATAAAGGTTTTGTACAGGGTAAAGGGTGGGGGGGAAGGTGATGGGGGAGAGAATGGAAGTTTCTAGCATATTATCACTGAAGCCAACTCTGCAGCCTCCCCTGCTACCAAAACCTTGATGTGTAAGCTTAGTACAGGCAGGAGCTAAAAAGTGACTTTCACAATAGTTGGTCTGTTTGAAGAATACTGAGAATTAGAAAGTTCAGGGACTCACAAACTGTTCTCTCTTTGTGGCCTTAGATAAGCCAAATGCCTTCAGTTATCCTTTTTTTTTCGGCTAACCTGGGTCTTGTGAAGATACAAAAGACTATGTAAGTGGAAAACAGGCCTATAAATATTAAAATATAATAATAAAATCACAATATTTTTTAAATTATATGACTAAAATATAATACCTTAAAAGATACACTGATATACAAATAAAAAAAAAGTTAATCAGTGGAATGCATCAATAAAATTAGAATGATTTCTCCTAGTTTTAATTTTTTACACTTAGACAAAACTAGGTATTACTGATAGGAAAATAAGAAAATTCTGAAACAAAGTAATTCCAATTTAAATTCATCTAAATTTGAAAATATTTTGAAGTAGTTTGGTTTTTAATACCAGAAATGAACAGAACTTTCAATTACCAGCAAAAGCACAACATAAACTTTTATAAGAGAAATTATCCAGTTCATAAACTCCTTATTTATTTAAACACCTGTATGAATCTTACAGTTGTTACTTTCAAACTACTGAGCAGAAGTTTTTCTTAGAATATTCCATACTTTGGAAATTTGTTAATGTTGCACAAATTCACCCCTACTAAAAGCTCAGGGGAGTATAAGGGGTAATAGAATCTTACAAGATCAGGATTACTGAGAAGAGAATTAAATTAACCTGACAAATCTCATAACTGGTGATGAAAGACACTTGCTTAGGCTGAATGACGACGCTACATCCAGAAGAAATACAGGCTACGCTCCCTACTGGGATCACTATGGCCTCCTTTTCATTATCAGTTCTGTCACACACAACACCAGCAAGCAGGAACCTCTGCTCTGAGCTGAAAATGGAACTGCAGGCATGTCCTAGCAGGGGGCAGGGTGAGCCCGCCTGGCTCTCTCACCGTCTGTGGAGCAGCCGCTGGTGCCGTCGCTGGAGCAGTAGCGCATCTCGATGCGCTGCCGCCCCACCTCCAGCAGGTTGGGGTCGGGCAGGCGTGCCTTGCAGGTGTATCGGAAACGCTGCTCGTAGTGACCGCCGTTGTCTGAGATGTTCACCGGCGTCCAGGGCGTCCAGGGAGTTGTCTTTTTTAACTCTGGGCAGGCGTTGGTGTTGCAAGGCTGATATTCCTGAAAGAAAAAGGTCATCATAAACACAATCGTCAAGTATGACCTTAAAAACACACAAGAAACACTCAGACAAAAAGATAACCCTTTTAAAAACATTCTCAGATATTTTTTCAACATTTCTAATAGCACTGATCACCAATGAACTTTTAATACCCGTCTCAAGCTGAAAGTGTTGTTTCCAGCTTCTATGCAAGCGCAGTACCACACTGCTAAAAGCAATAATATATCAAATTATATATCAAGTACAAATTAGATCTATCACATCCATAAAAACAGTAAATCAAACACTCTAAGTACCATAATCAAGCATATCCTTTATAAATTAATAGCCCCAAGTAAGGTGAAGCTAAATATGCCAAAGCTTTTAATTAAGAAGAATTCTAATAAACTGCAAGTACACGTCACAAACCAGCAAATAATTCCTTGGTAACATCTAGTGGCATATGAAAAAGCAAACCACTGTCCATTTTATATATTGCTTACATACTTCAAAAGGGACAACAGATAAAATTTGTTTTATATTACAGATTCTGGCTCACTGAGGTGTGTGTTACTCATAGCTCCAGAATTGCTAAACCTATCTTCAGAAGCAAATTCCCTGTGGAGTGATACACACTAAACGGAACAGATGACATTTAAGAAAAAAATGCAGAATTGCTAGTATTCTCACAAATGCAGACTTGTCAGTATCCTCAAGCCCCACACTCTACATCTTCTGATAAGTATCATCATGGTCTGTAGGTCCTGCCTATTCATTTTCCAGAACAAAATATACTTCGTCTGATGCAAATTCTGTGTAAAATTTTGGATGAAATTAAATAAGCATTGAATATCAGAATGAATTCACACTGACAAATTATTAAAGATGAAAAAAAAATAGGCATCAGTGGCAAAACTTTTAAATTTTCTCTCTACCTCTTGCCTTTAAGAAAGAGAGCTCCTTCTGAAAAGCAGGCTACTAAAATTTGTAATTTCACTAAATACTAAAAATTAAGGAAACAATAGAAATAATGGATTTATCATATAGTACAACCTCCTTCTTCCATAATCTCTACCTCAGTTGATACCAACATGCTCCAACAAGCAATAGATTACCTAATCCTCTCTTTCCCATGGCGATAATGTCCTTTTTATCTCGCATTTCCCTCAGTCCACTACCTCTTCTCACAGATAGTGCAACTTATGAACATACTCAACTAGGTTTAGACCAATCACTTTCAACCCGTATTTTAATTTAAAGCCTGTGTTGCTATTTCAAATCTAAAAGAAGCTTATTGTCTGAGAGCCTTTCTAATTTTTCTATCTGTCAGAGTGGGAAAAAAAAATCCTCAGAAATCCCTGTCCCACTAACACAGCTATACACCGGAGAACCCTGAACCATTATGTTCAGGATTCTCAAGTTCTGACGCCACAGGGATTTGTGATAACCTTGTGTTTCCACAGTTTTGTGTTACTTCATATATAAAGAGCTCAGACCAAAGGCTTCAGCTGGACTACTCTTGCTCCCTCCTGAGGGCTGTGCAAAGTCCTTCCCTACCTTAAAACCTTTTAATCACTTCTATGGTGTGTCAAGTCATACTCACAAGTCATACTCAGGCACTCCCATTCAGGGAAGATGATCAACCTTTCTGGGATCTGAGTGTCAGCCTGTCAGGTTTCTGGTTCAGAAGACAGCAAAGAACAACCAAATTATTTGCTCCCAGGTTCAAAAGGGAAAGTAATTTCTCAATGCCTCCTCAGGACTCAACTCTTTAAATCAGATATGTCTTAGACTTAGGACAGAACATGTATGACTATCCTCCTTGCAGCACATGAACTGTAAATAAAGAAATCATTAAATCTGCCTTTCCCTCTCCTTTATTTTCTTTTTATTTTTATGATGTCTAAGATGTCTAGCAATGATGAGTCTACCACTTCCCTGGATCAGCTGTTCTGCTATTTAGCCATCTGCAAAGCTAACAAATTGCAAGTTAATATGAGGCTGCATTTTCCCCTTAATTTAATTTTCCAGTCACTGAATTTTGCTGTGCCTTTATCAATGATGCTGAGAGTGTTTCTTGTCCCAAACCTACAAAAAAAATTTCATGCCCAAATACCATATATAATCATAAACTAAGCTCAGCTTGTTAAACCTACACAGGATTTAAAACCTGATTTCCAGGTCCTGTGCACCCCAATGTCTTCTATTTGTCCTATTTCCTCATTTTCCTTAAGACTGGACACCGAAAATGGACTTGGCATTCTAGAAGCCATCTTATCAATGCAGCATGCAAAAGCAATCATCACCCCATTCTCCTGACAGTCTGACTTTAATATGCACATTATTGCATTAGTGCTTTTTCCTTCCACAAGATTGTACAAAGAGTCGAAGTAGACTCAATTATCTTTAATAACCTGTCCTTTTCTAAATCACAGCTTAACAACTACCTATAGATTTTTATCCAACACAAGAGGCTGGTAGTATTTGGCAATATTAAAATATGTTTTATTAGCTTCTGTAATTATCTAACATATTATTTACTATCTCACCAATCTCTGTCCTGCTCAAGCTTTACTGAAAATGCCTTAAATCACTGTCTAGACTGTTGATAAAAATGTTAAGTGCTATTGACCCAAGAACTGATTTCAGGCAGACTCTACTAGACACAGTAATTTATATCTGCCCATTGACAGCACATTTTTCAATTTGTCAATGAACCAGCTTTTAATCCATTTAACATTTGTCACATATTTCAGTTTTCTGAATCAAATTATTTTCTGTTGCAAAGGTAAATGTCTTGGAAGAGGAGATGTGCTGTATTACTTTCAAACATCTTGAATCCCAAACTCTTCTTTATTACTAAGTAAGCAGGAAAAAATCAACCAGTTTAGTAGCTACTAGCCTGTTTATTTCAATATAGTCACAATAGTCTAAAAATCTCAGCTCTTCATTTGTTATTGATTTTTGTACTGATATTTTTCAGTCGAAACCAAAAGCTGCTAGAAATATGAGGGCTTTCTCTATTAGGCATGGCATAGAAAGGTAAGGGTCATGTAAAACAGAATATGTGAGGTATGTAATGGACCCTTTGTCAAATAAATATAGCTAGTAGAGGAAGGAGTTAATTTAGTGGCAATGTATTGAATGTTGCTTTGCTAACACACTTCTGAGATGAACACATCAGCTCCCTTGCTCCTAGAAAGACAGACTGCCAGTGCTCAGTATGCTTCAGGATGTGTAGTCCCTTCATACACCCTGACAGAGAGCATATGTTCCTATGCTGTTACCAGCATAGAAAGAAAGATGTTCCTGAAGAGTGCCTGTGAAGACTACTTATTAGTTTTTCCTTTCCTCTTGCTTGCTGCACAGCTTATATGAAAGTTTGAGTGCTGTCATGCTTATCTATTCAACCACTGGATAATAACCATGAAAGGCTCAGAAAGCTGGGCAAACAAAAGTACATGTACTTTAACTGGAGAATGTTTGCAGCAGTAAATAATCTCTCCAAGAGAAAATTCAGAGGACTATTGCCAGAATGGAAGACTCCTTGGAGTTCTGGCACTAATAATATCCTGGCCGAGCCCCCTGGCTTCTCTCACAGACAGCGAGTGCTGCACTGCTCTGCTGACTACCACGTCTGCCACGGAGCAATCAAAAACCACGCGGTGCTCGTTGAGAGCATCGATGTGATCTGATGCTGAGAACTCTGCTAAAAACAGAGCAATGAACTTGCTCTGAATTGCCTCAGATGTGCAAGTGAGGGAAGAGGGAGAGAAAAGTCATAGTTCAGATTATACATGGATATATTAAGTGCTGCTAGCATCAAGACATAGTCTAACAGGAAAGATTTGAGAGGGAAGAGAGGGAATATGGAAACTGATACCTCTGCTTGGTTTATCCTCCTCTTATCACCTTGTCCAATGCTTGAATGATTTACCTAAGAGGGATTTCAAGAATATGGCCCTCTCCAAAGCAATTTTACCAGCTAGAATCATGGGCACATTAATCAAGTAACCACATGTAAGTCTCAGATGAAAAAAAGTCTCAGATGAAACACTGAGGTCTCATCTCAGTAGTAAGAGCTAGAAAAGGAGTGAGGAACTCTGCTTCAATAGCGCTGCTGAGAGTAACTGAGACAGCAGCTGCTCAACTCCACCTCTGACATTCCACATGGACTGAAGGGAGAGATGGGGTCAAGCTCTCCTGGGGGATTCTCTAGGTACTCAGAGAAATACTTCAGGGGCTCAAGTGATGGATTATGCACATTAGTCCTTAGGGTACACTTGTGGACTCAGAGCAATAATTACTTGAGACCTTTTACAGACTCCAAAAATATCATTGCAATAGTTGAAGCTTAACCACATTCTCAAAGTTCTCTTTGCAAGTTGTTCTAAAACTTGTGGTCTAATTCACCATATTGTGGCTTGTAGTTTAGATTGGATTTAGCCAGTGAAGACAGTTGAACTTAGGCCTGGCTATACCCGGTAAAGATGCAGTAAGAGTTGCAAGACTAAATTTTAGGGCACAACTCAATATTGCAGGTTTTAGGAGATCACTGGAAATTTTACAAAAAATATGCAAATAAATACATACCTCACAAAATACATGTCTGTGAAAATTATTGTCATGGTTTGACAATATATTTAAATAAAAAATGATCATGAAGAATACTGGTGGTAATATGAGAAAAGGCATCGTAAATTAATATGATTATTTGAAATCATAATATATTTGGAATCATAGATAATGATTATGCTATTAAGAAGCTACCTTGCTTCTGTCCTTAAATAGTATTCCCTAGTATTTCTGCGAAATGGAAAAAGAATATTAGTATCGTGTTTTCTACCAAGATTTATTTAGAATTATTTGGTTATATTATTTTAGAAAAGGACAAGTAAAATGCAATTTCAAATTAGAGGAGACTGTTGTTAAATAAGACTGAACAAAACAACAAAACTCACTGTTTTCTCCTGGAGGACATGGAATTGACTACTTATTTTTTAGCCTCTGCATAGCTACT